TATAAACATTCTTTACTAATAGAGTTCTTTCCATTGTCTAATTTTCCATACATAGAACTTGCCTTGTACAGAACTTCCTATCTCAGAATTTTCCTTCTACGGTAAATCCTTCAACTGGTAGGACTTGTGCATTCTTGAATAATTGGGCTGAACATACTTTGATACGGCTGGGCTTGAGTAACGGACCGGATGTTAAATATTAACAAGTTGGGCTGATGACCTCTTGATTCGGCCTTGATGGAGGTTGGAAGACAAATAACAATGGTCTTGGGCTAAAAATACACTCAATTTGGGCTTAAGCATAACGGGCCTTATATGTCCTTGGAATGTAGATATGTGTAGTGATGACGTGTACGCTTCTTATTGGAGGGAGTTTTTTCCCTCCATATATATATATATATATAATTTTAAATACATTATCTATAATATTCAATTGTGATCCCCTTTTTTATTTTCAACTTCTTTTATTTAATCTTAATTTATTATATGTTAAGGTTTAGGATAATTTTTTAATTTATAAATTTGCAATAAGTTTTTTTTTTTTTTTTTTTTTTCTATGAGTAATTTAATTTTAAACAAATTCAATATCATATTAAAGTTCATTGTGCACGTGGGTAACTCAAATTAACCATACTTTCTAACCCGAATCTAAGTCCAAGTTGTAAACTCAAGTTTAAAAGAATGATGGGTTAAACCGAATTGAGTAGTTATGGTTGGAGGTAGAGTTAAGGTTGGGCTCCAATTGAACATATTATATGTTGAGTTAGGCTCAAGTTGTACCTTTAACCTACCCAACCCGCCCGAGTTATAACTCTAATCATCAGGATGGATAGGATGAGACGGTTTGGGAGTTTCCTTTCCAAACCCCGTTTGCGGGTTTTATAACTACTTTATCCCATTTACTTGCAAACTCTACTCAAGCCTTCCAAAATCCATCCCATTGAGAGTTGGGTGAGGTTGAGATTAATGGATACTTGACAAATTATCATCTTAATAGATAGTGTTAAAAGTGTCTCACGTCGGATCTGAATGAAAAGTAAAATAAATATAAATGGGCGGGTATGCAACACTGCCCAATAACTTAAGCTTTTGGGTTAGCAGGTAAGCGCCTATTCGTTACAGTTGGTATCAGAATCAGATCCAGCTATTAATTCGGTATCACGCCAAGCACACGTCACGGAAGTGTTTAGGTTGTCACTTCAGATAGGCAGGATGGTTCAACAGCAACGAGGGCATTGCGAGTTTGGGTAGGGGAAAATGCTAGAGGCGTCACACATTGGATCTGAATGATAAGTAAAATAAGTATAAATGGGTGGTTATACAACACTATTCAATAGTTTACCCTTTTGGATTAGTAGGCAAATGTCCACCCGTTATAGTGTTACAAATGAGACTTGTCTTATATCGGATCTGAATAGAAAAACGAATGGGTGTAGATGGGTTAAGTGTTAGCCCCACCATATGAAGCACAGATACGGACACGGGTACATACGATACGACACGGATATGGCAACATGGCAAATTTTAAAAAATAGGACACGGATATGGCGGGAATACGCCTATAAAATAATATATATATAATTATATATTCAAAATCCACAATACCATAAATTTAACATCCCCCAAAAAAATACTGTAATAAAATAAATACTTCAATTAATTAAGAACAAACCAAAGTTATCAACAACTTTACAGTTTACATTTTACACACATTCACAAATATAATTGTTCTGATTTCTCTCTGTTTTTCTTGTTACGGTCTAAAAGTTTATTTAATTCCAGTACTGAGATGAATGATTGTGATAACCCTGTGGACGGGTGTGCCGTGGGCGGATGCGAGACACTGACAGGCTACCACACTGGAGAGTTACGGGTGCACAATCCCACATAACTCGGGAAAAGGAAAGGTGAAATGGTTATATGTTGGTGTGTCACTCAAATTGGTATGAGGTCTTTTTGGGTAATGCCCAAAAGCAAAACCGTGCGGGCTCAGGTCCAAAGCGGATAATATCATACCATGTGGTGAAGTGGGTCGTTACAAATGGTATCAGAGCCTGACCCAACCAGAAGTGTGCCGACAGGGACGTCGGACCTCTAAGGGGGGTGGATTGCCATGACCCTGTAGGCGAGTGTGTCGTGGGTGGGTGCAGGACACTGATAGGCTACTACACTGGCGAGATACGGGTACACAATCTTACATCAATTGTTACGGGTACACTGGGAAAGGGAAAGGTGAAGTGCTTATATGTAGGTGTGTCATTCCAATTGGTATAAGGCAATTTGGAGTAAAGCCCAAGAGTAAAACCGTGCGGGTTCAGGCCCAAAGCGGACAATATCATACCATGTGGTGAAGTAGGTCGTTAGAAATGGTATCAGAACCTGACCCAGTCGGAAGTGTGCCGACGAGGACGTTGGGCCTCCAAAGGGGGTGGATTGTGATAACCCTATAGACGGGTGTGCCGTGGGCGGGTGCGAGATACTGACAGGTTACCACACTGGCAAGTTACGGGTGCACAATCCCACATTGCCTGGGAAAAGGAAAGGGAAAGTGCTTATATATGTGTGTGTCACTCTAATTGATATGAGGCCTTTTGGGGTAAAGCCCAAGAACAAAACTGTGTGAGCTCAGGCCCAGAGCGGATAATATTATACCATGTGGTAGAATGGGCCGTTACAATGATCAAATAGAAAAATAAACATAATGGAATCATAAAATTTAATTAAAAAGTGAAGTTCAAAATCTCAGACAAAAGAGTCAAAAGAGTTAAACTTCTAAAATTACATTAGGTACCCCATTTTTCTTAAAAAAAATTACAAATTATACCCTGCCATGTCATATACATGTCTCCGCGTGTCCTAGTCGTGTCCATTCCGTGTCTAATAAAAAATAATTTATGGACACTGGTACGGGACCCCTAGGAGGGGTGTCCGTGCTTCAAACTTAATAACTTAAACTTCTAGATGGGATTGCGAAGCACCCACCTTATTATAGTTGGTATCATAGTCTGACCCATTTCTTAATTTGGTGCCACACCAAGCGTTCACACCAAGAGGGGTCCGGGTCAACCATCCGGGTAGGTAGGGTGGCTTAATCACAACAAGGGCGATGCAAGTTTAGGCGGGGAGCTTATCTCAACCTAAGTCACATAAAGTGAGAGAGATAGCGCAAAAATAGCAAAATGTAAATCACTGAGAGTAGAAATGAAAATGAGAACGCGTTCAAAACGTAACCGAGAAGCGTTGTGTGACTTAGGTGCAGCTCAAACTTTTGAATCAGATATCACTTGTTGTTGGGACGTATAAATTTATTTACATATTAATTTTTAATTTTATCAAACGAACAAAATCATTTAACAAAATTTATGGGCCGTTTGGAAAGTGATGTGTTTTGTAGTGTTTTGTTTTAGCCCATAACAGAACAAGTGTTTTGTAATGTGGCGTTCTGAAATGAGAACAAAATATGTTTGGGACGAAAATTTGGAGTGAGAATTTTGAAATAGAAATTAATTTTTTTTTTGGATGATTAAAATAAATTAATTACAAAGCTTGATTAGTTTACAAAACAAGAATTATAGAGCTTGATTAGTTGATTTAGAAAAAAAATTAAAGCAAAACTCATACACACAGGTTAGCAGTTGTAGAAAGAAAAAGGGAGGGCAAGCTTGAGAATTGAGAGAGCGGCTGAAGCTTACGAACGGCGAACTAGAACTGGAACAGCGGCCGATGGAAACTGAAAGATATGGGTTTTGATTTTTTGAACAATCTGAAATGATATGCCGATACGGAGGTTTTGATATAGGAAATAGGTTTTGAACTTTTGATTCTTGCAGACAGATACATAAAACTAAATTTTAGGGAAAATATTACCTAAATTATAGAGAAGCTACTGCCATTAAACAGAACTGGACTATTCTGCAAATCAACAGAAAATTAAGCTGAGTTTAAGCTTAAAATCCACAAATCAACAAGAAAACAAAAACAAAAACAAAAACAAAAAAAACAAAAATAAAATATCATTTCGAAGATTGGTAAAGAAATTAAGTTAAAAACATTTACTTTCACTTGAAAATTTTCAAAATCGGCCTAGAGAGTGTAGAAATCAGAGGTAAAAAAAAAAGAAACCAAGCTCTCTTTGGAACAGCTCAAAGAACACACATTACCTGAGACTTCACAAATAACAAGAGGAGAACAAAGCCCTAAAAAGCAGACTCTGTCAACGACATAAATTAGAGAGAAAAGGTGAAGAGATTCTAGAGAGAGATTGAGATTTAGAGAGAGAGATGAGAGAGGGAGGGAGAGAGATTTTAAGTTGAGAGATACATAAACTGAAATATATGGGTTTTGAACTTCTAATTCTTGTAGATTTTGTAGTTTGCAATTGCACAGAGAGAGAGGAGAGAGAGAGAGGGCAAGTTCAGAGTTGAGAACGAGAATAGAGATGGAAGCGAGTTTTGAACTTCTAATTTTTGTAGATTTTGTAGTTTGCAGTTGGAGAGAGAGAGAGAGACTAGGGCAATTGGGAGGCTTAAATGATTTGCCCCAAAAATGGATTTGCAGAGTAGAGATGGAGGCATTTGGGAGGCTGAAATGATTTGCCCTAAAAAAAAATTTATTATAACCCCAGCTGTAGAGCCTGTAGTAAAAAAATGGGTCTAGAACAACATAGAACACCAAATCAACATAGAACACCAAATTTTGTTCCAGCTTTTGGGTCAAATAATGAATTTGTTTTGAAAGTATTTTGTTACTGTTAAAAATAAAATAAGACAGGCCAAACATGTTGTACACTCAAAATGAGCTATTGTGACGGTCCGGTACCATTACACAACACTTCCCAAACAGCCCTGTACTTAACAATTTCAAGTTTTTCAAGTTTTAACAATGTATGAAAAAGTCAATAGGTCCTTTTTTTTTTTGTTTTTTTGGTAAGGTCAAAATTGGGATGTTTCAGTCTACGCACGGACAGAAGTGCACGAGTTTCTCACGATAAATAAAATAAAATAAAGACACAATGTAAAGCAAAAAGCAAAAATGCTAATACTAATAATATTCGAGCAATTTTCGGATTCACCATCTACTGTATTCGAGCAAATTTCGGAGCCCTAAGATGCTACTGGCCGTCGTGATCGCCAACTTCGAGGGCAGCATCCTAGTCGAACGGTAAGCCAAAGATCTCCCCTTGATTTGATCAATATTCACTACTTCTAGCAGATCTGCTCAATATAATTATTCTAAAATTCTGATTTTTAATTGTCCTAGTGGATTCATTGGACTTCAAACGAGTTTAATCTATTTTCGATCGCATATGCATATATATGCCTTTTTCTTGTTTGAATTCACGCATTTTTCTACAGAAATTACTAATTGGAGTCATTTCTGTAATATCCAGTGGAAATTATTAGAATGGCCTTTTTTGTACATGATGTTAGTTCAATTTGTAGGATTGTCAAGGATGTTGTAAAGCACCATAAAGTTAATGAAATTTAGTTTAAATGAACTAAATTCAATATATTGAATGTTAAAAAAAAAAAAAAAAAAAAAAAAAAACTAGATGTAAATTGAATCAAAATTATAATGTTGTTTATAAAGAATTTGAACTGGTAACACCAAATTAATTTTAAACATTATTTCAACAATTCCTACTTGTTTCATTTTTTTGTTTTTGTTTTTTGTTGAGCAAAGAAGAAAATAAGAATATCTGCAAGTTAGTGCAGTCATGTGGATAGATAATGGTGTCGCTTGGACTTGAACCATTATACAGTAGAAGCATACTTTAGAGAACTTGGTGAACTGAGTTATGAAGAAAGAATAATTTTGATATTGGAGATGAAGTTCTAAAGCTTGCCGTGTTCCAGATCAAGCCTGTCAAAGCTATAGGAAACGACCTCACTTCTTCACCAAAATTGATTGGTCCATCAAGAGCAATCTTGCACTCCTAGTGAAGTATTGGTTATAGAAGTGTCGAGAAGTTAATCTCACCCTCTCCATGGGACCATGACGGTCCAGTGTGTTGCATATAAATAAATAAATTAATATATATGTATGTTTATATATCCTTCCAATGGTCACGATATCATTTGCTATAAGCTATTATTCTAATTCTCATGCTTACTCGAAGATTGAACTCGTGTTTTCCATTCCGAAGCACACATAATTAGAAGCCAAAAACTGCTTAATACAGACCTCTTAATTGTATAGACTAGTTTAATAGTGTCCCACAACTCTTATTATTATTTTTCTATTCACAATCATTTATCACGTCGTGTACTTATTAACCTATTCCAATGAGTATATGATTAAAACAAAAGTAGTTCTCACCAAACCATTTTCAGCATCTTTTATCTTGGAGAAACAAGACTTGGGCATAAGTCATTTTCAATGAAAGAAGGAAAAATGCTCTCTTTCCTCGCCACCTTTCGTAATTTTTACCAGCCAAAGTTGCAATATTTGGTCGGATAACTGAAAATATACTTTTGGAAGACAACAAAGACATCAGAAGATTAGAGAATTATTTTAAAAAAGATAATTTTAGGGGGGGCATAATGTAAAAATATACTTCCTCTGTCCCATAAAAAGTGTCACTTTTGGAGAACTGTGACTCTCACAAATTGAACTATCACGATTCCCCAAAAGCGACACTATTTTGGGGACGGAGGGAGTACATATCTTCAGGGGTGGAGCCAGCATGGGCCCAGACCCCGTGGGCGGGCCCAATGCTGGCCCATTGAATTTGTTTTATTTATATGAATATATGTATATTTTTACATTATGCCCCCCCTAAAATTATCTTTTTAAAAATAATTCTCTAATTCTTTTTTTCTTTTCCTTTGTACTCTACTATTCATTATTTATTTATTATTCTCTTTAAATAAATTTTTATTCTCTTTCTTCTATCAAACCCTAATTTGGTTTTCCTTCATAGTTCATAGTTATCTTACTTATTTATTTTTATTTTCATCTTTTTGTTATTGTTATTGTTTTTTCTTAAAATTTTATTTCTTGCCTTGCTTATTTAGAAATTTTTTTTTATCGTGTCGAATATGCCCCTCTTGAATCAAATTCCTGGTTCCGCCCTTGTTCATCTTCAAATTGTTAGAGAAAATCTGCATATCGTTTCAGCAGCTTCATGCTACTTGCTTGACTACTCATAGCTAGCTTGTACAGTTATTTCATTCTATATAGTTAATTCATTCTATAAAAATCTTACTTATCGAAAAATAAAATAAAATGAAATAACAGAATAGCTAGAAATTGAAGTAAAATAAAGCAGCTAGAGGGAAACAAGATGCAAGAAGAACCAGAATGACATAATTGCTAAATAAAAAATATAGTAACAGAATTGCGTTTGAAGTAAAAAGCCATTACAACTAAATATATCACCTTAGTAGAAAAAATACATGAAAAAAAGTGCAAAAATAAATTAGGGAAAAACATCCTAAAGATATAATATCTCAGTACCCAAGTAATACACACTATAACTAATAATTGAAACTTAGTCAATTGAATCAATGCTTAGAGGTAAACAATCAATTCTGGAAGATATTATTAAGCCTCTCTTGCATTCAAACCATAAAACAAATGGTAGCCCTATCTCCCAGATTCAACTATGTGCAGATTTTAAACTTGAATGTGTATGAGGGTTGCACTTCTCTTCATGAATTCATCTCCACCCAATCAACTAGCAATATGTTGTTGACAGCTCCAACTGAATTTTTTTTCGGTTTAGCTACTCTAAGCTTCTTTTACTTGTCTCTTTAGTTTGGAGCCATATATGATTCTTTGTGGTGAATGCTCTTCTAGTGAGTTGTAGTGTAGAAATTGCATAATGTGTATAATGCAAAGCAATGATCTTACTACACTTGAGTGGTTGCTTTAACAAATGAATTCTTTCTAGCTTCAATGCATTCAATTTCAATTAACCATTTAGAACTAGCATTTGCACAATATTGATGTGAGTAATATTCAAGGTGCAAAAGTCACGAAACACATTATTATAGAGTTTACAACAAATATATCAAACACTTGGTATGCTTATAAACTCTAAATGTGAAGGATGTGTTGAATATGCATTTTGTCAAACACTTGGTGTGCAACATAATTTTAGTTATATAAAAGGCTAATAAAAAACATATACTCTAAGCTAAAATCAATCAAACAATCAACCTACTCCAAGCATTCATCCCATCCTCCTCATATATTCAAATTAACATGTCCATCTCATAGCATTCATAAATAAAGTATTAAGATTATGAAATGGAAAATGTTAAGGAAATAAAGAGAGTAAGAGTTAGAGAAATTGCAAACCAAAGGACACGCGATGTACATGGTTCGGCACAACCTCGGCCTACGTCCATGCCTTGAGAAAACCTCTCAAGGATTCCATTATGGCTCCTCCTTACGGGTGGAGAGCAAACCTTTACATGTTCTTGCTTGCGGGTGAAGAACCGACCTTGTAATGAAGCCATCTTGCTTCTCCTTCTTTTGATGGCTAAGAAGGAACCATTGCTCACTCTTGTGGGTGGAGAGCTCTACCAAATCCTCTCATTAGAGAGACACCTTCTTTTTTTTACGGGTTGAGAAAGAAAACCCTTACAAAAGCTTAAACAAGCTTTCCCTTGCCAAGAGCACCTCTTGGTCTTCTTCTCTCAAGAATGGATATATAATGAAGCTCACAATGAATGTCTCTCAAATAGACAAATATACAAATCAAAGCTCTCATACTTAGAGTTACAAATGAAATAATCAAATGAAAGCTCAACTCTAAGTTTGCAAGATGAATCACATGAATGATATGCAATATATTTCAATGGTGATTCCTTGTATGGACTACTAGAGCAAAAGCTCCACAAGGAGAGGGAGGAACTAGAGCAAAAACTTTGTAGAAGTTCCTTTTAAAAGCCTCAACTCGAAACCAGAAAACCCCAACTCTATTTATAGACATCTGATATACAATATAGTTGTTGGGCACTCAGTTCTAGGTGAAATAGCCGTTTGAGTTTGAATTTGCGCTGGTTCAGTCGACCGAGATGAAACACCCTTGTGTTTCGGTCGTTTTAAATGGTTTTAAGCTTGGTTCATCACTCTCAGTACTCTTGGTTCGGTAGACCGAAGTAACACCCTTCCTGTTTCGGTCAACCGAAATGGTTTCACCATTCTCAGCATCTTTGTTTTGGTAGACCGAAGTGATTTGGTGCTCTATTTCGGTAGACCAAAATAGAACCGATGCTTCATCCTCAGTATCTCTGTTTCGGTAGACCGAAGTGAGTTGGTTTTGTATTTCGGTAGACCGAAATAGAACTGATGCTTCAGAAAATGTTCTAAGTTAACAGATTAGACAGTGCTCTACAGGACATCTGCACAGACCTTATTTTCATTGAAATGTTGTCTTTACTTTAATTTATATGTCCATTTACTTTAAGTTTACAATGTAAATAAGGAAGTACCCCCCATTTGGATTCAATAAAAAATACTAGAAAATTGAAATCCAACTAAATCAAAATGTAGAAATTCAGTTTTAGTACAAATTTGGATTTCTGACTGTTTTGGTAAAAACGAATCCTTGTGTAGACTAATGTAGACTTGGTCAAAAATTATGATAAAATCAGGTTAGGCTAGTTAAAGTATAAAGAGTTATTACCGGGAAAAATTATTTTGAAATAATTATTATTTTAAAAATCCATTTTTCACACTTAGTCAAAAACACAGTTTTTCATGACGCGCATTCTAGGGTCCTAATGTCCGTTACCAACTCATAGTAATGAAGGCTTCTCATGCCTTAATTGTTGACCAATATGAATTATATGATAAAGTGCATGGTCTTAACTTTTCTAGCACAAGTGATGAGTTCTTTCAAAGCTTATGCAAGCTTGAACTAACTCACTCGTTAGCAAAGACTCCATGTGCAATTATATATGAATGAAGTGCATAGTCTATTGCTAATGGATATAGGAGCATATGAATGATGATATGATATGCATGTTCCTATAGAGATGAGTTTTCAAATGAAGTTACTTCAAAAATAACTTTACAATTTAAGTTGCACTCACCAAGCTATCTACCCCTTTCTTCAAGCTTTGTTCATGATCTTTTAGGCTTTGAGGTATTCTTGCTTTCTTCCTTTCTTTAAGTTGCTTTCTTAATCATTGATGTCCAAGTTGTCT